GCCAGGCTCTCTGCGGACACAGCGGACATCAGGGTCAGCGGCCACTTCCCGGCTGTGTCCCCAGCCTCCCCGTGGGGCAGCGCGGGGACAGCACCCACACAGCTCCTGGCTCCGCTCTCCTCACCTGTCTCCTGCCTACCACTGAGCTGCACCCTGGGACCCAGTTTTGAGCTTGGGCCCATTAACAAATATTGCTGATGAGCTGAATATATTTAAACTTTGATTTAATTTGAATTGACAAAGAACAGTACATATTTATGGGGTAGTATCTGTCTCCAGTGTAGGACGATTCAATGAGCTGACAGCTTATCTGTCCTGACGTTTGAATCTACCCTTTCAGAAGACTGAGCCACAGTGACGAGACTCGCTGCAGAAACCACCCTGTGCTCCACTCCTGCCCGCCAGCCGGGCACTGCCACTGTTCCCTGCTTTGAGTTCCCGGCCTCCGACCCCACGCCAGGGGAGCGTGGCCTCCCTTGGGCTCTGCTCCTCCTCCCTCGGCTCCGCCCGGCAGGGGACATACCTGCACCATCCTTGGCACCCACGGGCCGCAGCTTCGGGACCCCTCCTTGGAAGAGACCTCCCTTGGGCTGCAGGGCAGCAGCTCCCGAGCCATAGCCGCCGCCACCGCAGCTTCCTTTGGGCTCTGAAAGCACAGCGTGAGCATTTTCACTTCCCTGCTCCGAGATGGCGAGCAAGGCGATCCTGAGGAAAAAGCCTGCTCTCTGGGCTGCAATTTGCAAACAAACCGCTCTCGCTTTGCCTTTGCATGAAACAAAAGCCAGAGCAGTGATGGGAGAGAAAGAGCTGGAAGGGAACAAGAAGCCCTGGCTGGGGGTATCCCCTGCGAGTTCCAGACAGTAAGGGGCCAATGGCGCAGGGCCACCGGGGGAAGAACGACGAGCAGCAATTGTCAAGCCACCCTGCTCCCTGGGGCAGCGGCGGGATGTGCCCTAACAAGCACTAGGCAGCGAGGCCGGAGAAACTGCTCCGGAGCTCCAGACAGCAGCGGGGAGGACAGCAGTGGCCGGACTTACTCTCCAGCACCGGTGCACTCCGGTCACTGACGTTGGTCACCTTCTTCAGCTTGGCCCCTCTGCAGATGTCCTGCAAGAGTGCATTGCGACCTCGCTGCTCATCTCTGCTCAGCTTGGGCTGCTCTGTGTTTGCCTGCAGGAGAGGCGAGGAGACAGACGTCACGTGAAGGCTTGGCCCTGCCTGGCTTCCCTAAAGCACTGGCGCAAGCTGCTCAGATGCGCCTGCACCACCAGCTTCTCCGCCTCTCCCTCCTCTTCTGCCTCCTGTGACGGGCACAGACCTCCATCCTGGCCCTGGCTTCTGAGGACAGCCTGCACTGCTATGGGTCTGTGCAGGGTGCTATCAGGCTGGGCACTGAACACGGTACTTGCATCACCTCATCTAAATCCTGACGTCGTGCTGCGAGAAGGACCCTCCTCCGCGTCCCCATCCGCAGAGCATGGATCAGCTGAGCAGCTGCTTCCTCAGGCCGTGCAACCAGGAAGCACAGCGCAGCCCCCAAACCAGCTGGGACTCGAGCTTGCTACCTTACCCCAGCCAGCACAGGTGGCTGTTACAGCCACGGAACAGGAAAGCAGGCAGGGAAAAAAGGTTCAGGAACGTCATTGTCACCATCGCATGACTGACATGCCGTTCCGACTGCCAGGAATTCCCAGCCTTCTCTGCGCCCGGCTGGCCCTTCAGTGTGTGCCCCTTTTTCTCTGACACACCGCCGTCCCGCAGCTCTGTCCCCACCTCATCTGACTGTCCTGCAGCAAGGTTTGTGTACCATACAGGGCCCCAAACCCTCCAATGTTTCTGTTTCATTCCCGGGTGTCTGCACAAGTGTGACAGGACATTTCTACGTGAGCGCTGTACGGGGACTTGAACAGGAAGGCTCCATATTGCACAGGTTTATAATCTCAGCACTCGAGGAGGCTGAGGCGGGAGGATCACACATAGGAACCCTAGCCTGAGTGACTTAGCGAGACCTTGTCATTCATTCATTCACTCAACAACGAATTCATAAATGAATGAATCTGTGAACCAATGAATGGAGAAAAGACTGGGGATGTAATTCAGTGCAAAGGCCCTAGGTTCAATCCCCAGTACCAAAATAAAAAGACAGATAAACAGTACATATTTTAGAAGGAAAAAAGGATACACATGGAAAACTGCCAAAAGGATATACCCATACACTGAAATACACTGAAAGTTAATATTTAATAATTCTTTATTTTATTTTATTTGTTTTATTTTTTTGCTGGTACTGGAGATTGAACTCTGGTCCTTGAGCTTGTAAGGCAGGTGGAGGAGCCACTGAGCTAAATCCCCAGCCCAATAATTCTGTATTTGTATTTTCTGATTTGCCTATAATAAACATATAAAACATATACAGTGTTAACAGGTTAATTATACTGTTTTCTGTTTTTATTAGAACTTCCTAAATTTCTACAAACATTTTTAGTACAGTAACAGTTCTTTTCTTTTTGTACTGGGGATTGAACTCGGATCCTTGTGCTTGTGAGGCAGGTGGCGGAACCAATGAGCTAAATTCCCGCTGTACAGTAAAAATTTTTAAAATACTGCTCTTAGTGGGGTGTGGTGGCGCACCACTGTAATCCCAGCGCTCAGGAGGCTGAGGCAGGAGGATTACGTTCAAGGCCAGCCTGAACTACATAGCAAGACCCTGTCTCAAAGACATATACATGTGTGCACAGCTACTTTTCAAGACTAAAAACCAACGAAAGCTACTGCTAAACGTTCAGGGATCCACCAAGTCCGTCCTGGTATATGAACCTCTAGAGCAGCAGCTCAGAAATCACTAGATGCCTACAGCAGAGCCTCTCTCCGAAGAGCAGCTCCTCGGGGAAGAAGAGGACCACAGACTCAAAGCTGCCGTGAAGGGTGATGGGTGGCGGCTGCTTGCTGCTGATCCGCAATTTTAATTTTTTTTTCCCCAGTACCAGAGATCAAACTCCGGACTTTATGATTTCAAGGCAGGTTTGGTGCCACTGAGCTACATCCCCGGCCATTTCTAAATTTTTTTTTTCGTTTCTAAATTTTTGAACATATTATTTAGTAAAGAGAAAATTATTGAATACTATTAAGCATGTCAAAAATTGAACTTTATTCTCCTCCACAATACGTAGCTCACTTTGTAAACAGCACCATCATTTGATCAAATCCTCACATCAGAACCATTAAACCTTACTCTTTTCCCTCACTCTCTTGTCACCAAACTGTTTTTTTCTTGTTTGCTTTTGCAATATGGTTGAACCCAGGGCCCTTGCACTGAACTACATCCCCAGTCTTTCTTTGTTTTCTTTTTTGGTACCAAGGATCGAACTTGGGCCCTTGCGCTTGCGAGGCAGGCAACAGAAAAACTGAGCCAAATTCCGGGCCCATCCCTTCTTTTTAAATTTTTAATTCTAACACAAGGCCTTGAACTTGCTATGTTGACCAGGCTGGGCTTGAACTTTTGATCCTCCTGCCCAGATCCCCAGAGTGCTGGGGTTACAGGCATGCTCTACTGTGCCCGGTGTCCGACTGCAAGATTTTGCTTTTGAAATGTCTCATCTCTACTCTGCAGACCCTCGCTCTTGCACGGCCCACAGTCTTCATGTCCTGTCTCAAGGCCCTGCTCCCACCCCTGCCTGGAGAAACCTTTCTGCTACACAGCTGAGCCGTTGCTCCTGGGGAGTCTGGCAGCAGGAAGCCCAGCCTAGCCTGTGTCCGCCACTGTGCAGTGCCCATGAACCCTCAACTGCTCCCTCTGCCCCTTCTCCCGCAGGGCACAGAGGTCACATGGTCACAGGCTCTCCTCCTACTGCCTCGCACGCTGCATAAAACCTCTACAAGGGAGGTAGTGCGGGTCTGAAAGCACACAGCAGTCTGAACCCAGAAGCTGCAGGAAACCCTTGCCCGGCAGCCCGCCCATTCTCCAGGCCGGAGTCTTCCCGGTAAGCACCAGCTGGGACCCGGGCAGCAGCACACAAGCCTGGGGCCTTTCCCCTGGGGCTACTCTCACTTGGAGATTTCCCCCAGTGAGAAGGCACAGCCCCTTCCAATGTGACCCCAGGGATCACAACTCAGGTAGGGCACAGGTGGCCGCCTCTTGGGTTCAGAACCCACAGGGCTTCTCCTCTACCACCGAACCTTTCAGGCTTCTTACCAACACATTCCTTACCTGATGCCCCCCTACCCAGCGTGTGTGGGACTGAACCCCGCCCCTGGCCTTCCCACTTAACTACACCCCAGCCCTTTTTATTTTGAGACCAAGTCCAGTTGCTAAGTTTCGCAGGCTGACCTTGCAATGCTCCTGCCTCAGCCTCCCAGATGGCTGGGATTACAGGGATGCAACCCCATACCCTGCTCCCCAAGCCTCTCTTTTTTCTCTCTCTCTCTTTTTTTTTTTTTTTTTTGGTTCTGGGGATGGAACTCAGGACCTTGCACTTGCAAGGCAGGCCCAGCACCACTGAACTAAATCCCCAGCCCGTCTCTCCTTTACTTGCTAGGCCGTAAAATATGACAGCCTTGGCTTTAAAATGAGCTGAAGTAAAGAAGACGTGAAATGGCAGTGACATACACCTCCAGGAACCCCCAGCCCTTTCCTCAGGGGTCCCAGGGAAATGGCACACAGACCTCTGTAGAGAGAACAGCTCAGGGAGAAGCCTCTGTCCCCACTGCAAGGCTACCTGCCCAAATCTCCATGGGGAACAAGCGCGACCAGGCAAGGCCCCGGGACGGCGCGGACCACAAGACTGCAACCTTTTGAGTGGGGATTCTGCCTGCCTTGAAAGCCTAAGGTCAAGTTTGATCCCCAGTACCAAAAAAAAGACTGTAATGTAACCTGTCAACGTCATCGGTCACTGCTAGTGGGACTTCCTGTGACTGGCCTGCACGGCACTCAGGGAGACTGCAGGTGACAAGAACGAGGTGCCACACTGTCAAGGGGAAACCCAGGTGTCCAGGCACTCACGTGTGTGTGACCAGTGACCCCTGGGAACAGTGCGGTGAGCACAGGCACTCACTGCTACTGAGCAGACTCACAGGCGTTCTTGGTAATCACTGAACCTGGGCACGCTGTTATTTCATAAAATAATGTTAAATTCGTTTTTTAGCAGCTGTGGTAAAGGAAGCACACAAGTACACTAAGCCGTTTATTTGCTCACGGAAGTGTTCTAATGACAGCATCACCAGACCGGAGACGTGGCCGGTCCACAGCTACACGGGAGCTGCGTGCCATGTGTTTGCCTAAAGCCGCCTCTCCCCACTCAGCCAGGCCCAGTTAGGCCGAGGCTGGGCACCCACAGCCACAGCGTGAGCGGGCGCTGCCTGTTCCCCGGCTTCCGAGCCCGCATCACCAAGCTGTCCGCAGTGAACAGCAAAGTGGCCTACATTCGAGCTCTGATGCTCTGCAACCCCGGAGCTGCAGCGGTAGGAAAACCTGTGAGCTTTAGCCGAAGCAGGCAGCGGACCAACGGGCTGCTCCCCCAGGCCCACAGGCTGGGCGGGGGACCCACCTGATTAAAAGTGGGCGGCGGTGGGCCAGGCGGGGGCGGCGGGGGCGGCGGGATCGGCATCCTTGCCCTGCTCCCAGTCGGCACTGCTCTCTCTCCGTCTCCCCTTGCAGCTTTGGGTCACTCATATACCTGGAAATGAGACGGAATCTGTCAGACCAACAGCACCGTCAGTCACTGGGTGCCAGGAGGAGGGGACCGAGCGCTCGTGTGCTGGGTGCGCCGGGACACAGTCCAGGCCTCTCGCAAGGCGGCAGGCGCTGTGCCAGCGCTCTCCAGCCCAGCCCACCTCTTTTGCTTATGTACAAGCACAGAGACTGTCCTGGGACACGGCCTGCATCGCGACAGAGCCGCTCCCGGTGAGGACACACGATGGCGACAGACGCCGTGACGGGGTCCAACGTGCTGAGTCACATGACAGCCCCAGTCCCTGAACTCCGGGTCTGCCCAGTTGTCTCTCCCATCCCAAGAACCAACTGATCTTTGTACTCCCTTCCTGGCTTTTCCTCTCCAGAACGTCAGTCAGTGTACTATGAACTGGCGAGCAGAGGTGAGACCACAAGCTGTGCAGCACCTTCAGGCGGACTTCCTTCAGTCTCACCACATTGCCAAGGCTGGTCCCTCATGCCTGGGCTCTAGCGACTGTCCCGCCTCAGCCTCCCAAGTAGTTGAAACTGCAGATCTGTACCACTATACCCAGCTTACAGCCCTTTTCAGTGTCCAGATGGACCCCAGACTACCCATGTCCTCCTATGGGAGGCCGTTTTGGTGGCTTCCAAGCTGGGCAATGCTAAATACAACTGCTCTACACATTCGTGTGCGGGGTTCCTGTGGATACCAAGGACAGGGACTGGATGGCATGCTGAAATCATACCCAATTCTGCCTGGCTCTGCCATGCTCCTCCCAGCGTGCTGTATACCTCGCACCCAGAGCCAGAGGTCAGTTCCCATGGATCCACACGCTTGCCCACCTGGTGCTGTAGGCTCTCAATGTTGGGCACTTCAGTGGGTACATAATGGGATGTTGGTTTTTTTGAGGCAGAGTTTCAATCTGCAGTGCCGGCTTGCCTTAAGCTCATAACCCTGCCTCAGCCTCCAGGTTGGTATCCTTTTTTTTTTGTTTGTTTTGTTTTGAGTGGCTGGTACCAGGGATCGAACTCAGGACCTTGAGCTTGCCAGGCAAGTGCAGTGTCACTGAGCAACATCCCTGGCCCGGTGTCCTGTTTTAGTGTGTGGTTCCCTAGTACATACTGTAATACTGAACACATGTTCTGTGCTTTGCTTTGTTTTGCTTTGTTTTGTTTTGTTTGAGACAGGGTCTGGCTGTGTAGTCCAGGGTGGCCTTGAATTCACTATGTAGCCCAAGCTAGCCTCAAAATCACAGTGATCCTCCTGCCTCAGCCTCCTGAGTGCTGGGAGCTCTTGTGCTTCTTGTCCTCTGTAACCTTCTCTGGAGGTGTCTACTTAGGGCTGTTGGCCTTGTTTTCCTTCCTGGTGGTGAATGGAACCCAGGGCCTCACACAGGCTAAGCTGCTGCTCTATCTCTGAGCTATACGCTTAGCCCTACTAAACATTTTTTTTTTTTTTGGTACCAGGTATCGAACTTGGGTCCTTGCACTCATGAGGCAGGCGGCAGCACCAGTGAGCTAAATCCCCAGCCCTCTACTAAACATTTTTAACTGGGCTGTTCTGGTTTCCTTGTGTGTAACGTTAAGAGCTCTCTGTATATTTTGGATAACAGCATAGCATAAGATACGCCTTCTGAAAATATTTTCTCCTAGGCTTATCTGCTCATTCTCTTGATTTTCACAACCTCTTAAAATGTGAGACCCATTCTCAGTTTGTGAGCCTCACAAACGCAGCCTGTGGAGCACATGTGACGCACCGGTCAGAGTTCACTGGCACCTGGCATGGCTGCACCCACAGAACACGGCAGGACGCCAGCCAGACGTGACAGGGCACAAAGCACTCACGCACACGCTCCGCAGCGTCCCTTGACCGGTCTGTGCGGGAAAATCCAGAGGCCTAACTTACCCAAGACATGAAAGTAAGGAACAGTAAACAGTTATCTCCAAAAAAGCCTGGCCCCGAGGAAATTCCACTTGACCAAAGAAAAAGGAAGCCGAAATAATCAGATGGCCCTCACCTAAGGTGACCAACGTGCCCATGGATGTGGGAGGAGCTGCAGTGAACAAAGCGACTCACAGCTGAGATACAGGAGGACGCACAGGCAGCCCGCAGCACACACGGGAGGCCGAGCCACCGAGGTGAAGCCAGCAGGCAGTGGCGGTGCACACCTGTGAACCTGCCCTGAAGGAGGCTGGGGCTTGGGAACAGCAGTTCAAGCCCAGCCTGGGCAACTTGGCCACTCGGTGAGACCTTGTATCAAAATTAAAAAATACAAAATAAAATAAGAAAGCTGCAGCTGCACCTCCACGCGAAGGCCCTGGTTCTACCCCCACTACTACCACAAGGCTGCCAGGTGGAGGAAGGACCCACAACCAAGGGCAAGGCCTGGGTCTTCCGGCGCATTTCCTTGCAAGGCAACCAAAACTCTTAAATAAGGAGCTGCCTTACAGTTTGCTCCATGCCCTGGGAATGACGGGAGGGGACATAATCCAAATGTTCTGTAAACCAGGAACTACCACAGGACAGCAGAACTGGTGAGAAAGAACTGAAAATCATCACAGCCGCAAACCTCGCCAGTGCCTTGGGCCCCCTGGAGCTGTGTGCGCACAGACAGGAGACAGGCAGCACAGGGCGGGCAGACCTCATGGGAGGGGCGTCTTAACTCCAAAAGACCTAACACAATCAACATTAAAAACTGATCAAAATATAGCCAGGTATGGTGACACACACCTGTATCCCCAGCCCTGGAGGCGGAGGCAGGAGGATCCCAGCCTACAAAACTTAGGGAAACTCTGTCTCAAAATTAAAGCGGGTGGGGGAGACTGGGGATGTAGCTCCATGCAAGGCCCTGAGTAGTTCAATCCCCAGTACACTTCAAAGAAAAAAAAGGACAAATCCAGGCCTTTCTTTAGAAAGCACCATCAATTATAAGAATCCAATAGTTGTGAGGTTAAACCTGAAATAACTACAACGTTCTCTACAGAAAAACTTCTTTTCTGATCTATTAATTAGAACCAAAGCCTCATCAATGGCTCTCAGGCCCTTGATTTTCAGGAACGCTTTGGGTTCGGCTGCATAGTGCTTCTCATCCCCTCGGTGAGCCCCGCCCGAGAGCCCTCCACAGTCAGGAATCAGAGGCCATGAGTACGATGAAAGCGCTACTTAAATCACCCCAAGGTCAGATATATCACAGAATTCAGAGCTATGTCTCCACAGCTCTTGGGCAATAGAACTTTAAAAAGTGTTTGCTTCTATTCTTCAAAACCCACCTTTCTACTTAATTTCCAGATGTTTCAGGGCAAATATTCCTACATTTGAAGAACAGGAGGCTTTAGTTCCGACACCAACTACTGTCTTTGCATTTGATAAATGAAGGATCCAATTTAGTTGCTCCTTTAAAAGTTATCTAAGAGGCATCCCAGTTACCAGTACAATTGGGGGCCTTATTCAAATGGCATTCTGCTGCTATAAAACTGCAGGTTTTTGTTTTTTTTTTGAGACAGGGTCTCACTATGTAGTTGAGACTGACCTGGAACTCACTATGTAGCCCAGGCCAGTCTCAAACTCACAGCGATCCTCCTGCCTCAGCCTCCCAAGCGCTGGGATTACAGGCTTGTGCCACCAGACGGGCTGTTCCGTGTATTTTAATCTCAGCCAGAAAGGACTGCAATTATTGATCAGGGCTTCAATAACTCAGTCAGAGATGGGTGTGATACCACATTACTACAATCCCAGCTTCTGGGAGGCTAAAGCAGGAAAGATGCAAGGTTGAGGCTACCCTCGGCAATTTAGATAGACTGTCTCAAAATAAAAAAGTTAAAAGGATGGGGATTTAGCTCAGTGGCACGGCCCCTGCCTTGCAAGTGCAAGGTCCTGCCTAAAACTGATCCCTGGTATGGACAAAATAAATAAATAATGAATTAAAAAGTTAAAAGGGCTGGGGCTGCAGCTCAGTGGTACAGCACTTGCCTAACATACAAGGTCCTGGGTTCGATCCCTTTGTACCACCAAAAACAAAACAAAATGAAGTGGGTGACAAAACTTTAAGCATGGACATTAAAAAACATTATGATGATGAATCAGCCATTCAAAATGTTTCTATACAACTGACTCTAGAAACATTTACATTGAACAAGTTCAAAATGACCACGTCTGCTGGACGTGGTGGCTCACGCCGGTAATCCCAGCACTTGGAGGATGAGGCAGGAGGATCAAGAGTTCAAGACCAGCCTGGGTTACAAGTGAGCTCAGGGCCAGTGTGAATCCTATAGTGAGACTCTGTCTAGGAAAAAAAAAAAGAAAGGCCAAGCCTACTTTGTATACTTTCTCAACCGGGTTTCAGTTATTAATAGCAAGAAATCAAAGGTAAACTGAACGGACAGCTGATGTTAAACCAGAGTCTAAATTCAAGAACTTTACCCCAGTCTGAGAAGTACTTAACTTTAGACTCTTAATAACCTGATGGTGGCCCATTGGTACCAGGTTATGATTATTTTTAATGAAAATCAAACTCTGGGGCAACATTTCCTCTGTCTATTTTACTCAATAAGCACTTTTTATTATTTATTTATTCATTCAGTTTTTGAGACAGGGTCTCACTATGTAGATCAGGCCAGCCTCAAGGATCTGCCTGCCTCAGCCTGCCCAGGGCGTCACCACAGCAGGCTACAACAAGCTCTTAAGCACACAGTAGGTGCTCCACAGTCACTCACTGAAGAAAACCAGCAGATACGTAGAGCGGCAATGTCAGGGCGGGGTGTGGCTCCGTGGTGGAGGTGCGTCTAAAAGACCCTGAGTGAAGAGAAAGCAGGGCAGGATCAACAGCCAGCAAAGAGCGAATGCAGGATGGAGGCCTCGGTGGGAAGAGGAAGGAGGGCGCGAGCGGCTGTGTTCCCAGCAGAATTCAAACTCGGTTCATTCACCATCGCCCACTTCGCCGTCCACGTTCTCCTCACGCATCCCCCGCGTGGTAAGCACTGCTGTGGGACAACGGCTCCCACAGG